TACTCATGTACTGTGAGCTCTTCCTGGTTCAGTGGAAGCAATGTCCCTTTCTCTCTTCTCCATCTGTCAGCTTCTCCGCTAATTTTCTAGAGTTCATCGCTCTGCCTATGCAAGTGTAGGATGCATTTCCTTCCTACAATTAATCATTCCTTTTCTCTTCTGCATCCTTGGTTTATCCTTCTCTAATGGATCATTCCCATCTGAAGACACGCTTTAATATCATCTTTATTAAAACCAAATAAAACAACAAAACTCCTGCCTTCCACATTCAGTGTCCCATTACGACTTTCATGGACCTACGTACTTTTACCTTCATAGGTCATAATAAAAATGTGGAATAAATAAATATGGAATTTAAGTATTTAACATATTTTATCACTCATTGATATAAAGATTAATATAATTCAGTCTAGTCCAGATTGGATTAAACTCATTCTTCTGAATTTAAAAAAAATTAAAACACTTAAACTATTGTGGACTCTGGGCACTCTGAATCCGTGGATCCGTTGGCCCTGCCCTCATTCCCCTCAACCCAGAGTCCTAATTTTGGCTCCCCTTTCAACAAATCCCCCTGTGGCAGATTTATTTTCCAAAATGGCACAGAAGTAGATCTGATCTCACGTTTCTCCCATCAAGGAGGGAGTCTATTTCTCCTTCTCTTCAACCTTGATGGGACTTTTTGACTACCTCACTGAAGAGAATGGAGAAAAGTGACATCATATAATTTCCAAGGCTAGGTTATCAAAGGTGATAGGGTTTCTGCCCATCTCTCTCTCAGGACTTGCCCTTGAACCCAGCCACCATGTTGTGAGGAAGCCCAGAGCACACGGAGGGGTTCTGGCTGATGGCCAGCCTCAACCACCAGACGTGTGCGTGAATGAGTGGCTCCAGCCTCAGCCTTCCAGCCACCCCAGCTGATACCAAATGGAGGTGATGACGCCACAGAGCCCTGACCAAATTGCAGATTTGTGTGCAAAGTAAATGTCATTGTTTTCAGCCACTGAGTGTGAGACATTTTTTTAAGGTAGCACTAGTAACTGAACATTCTCAAACTGTTGTGTGTCTTCATCTTTCTTATTCTCACCTCAGCTTACTCCAGTTGGATGCTCATCCCTGTCACTGCATGAAAAAGACTTCTATAGTAGTCACCAATTACCTACATTTCTTATTCGACTTGCCAGCAGATTCATCATCGTTCACCAAATGAATTCTTTCTCCAAATACTTTAGGTTTAAAGAACCCACATTCTCTGAGTTCACAACTTTACTGATTGTCTTCTTTGTTAGCACTTCCTCTTTTTTACCAAATCTCAACATGCTTGGAGGCTTCCCAGGCTCATCCTCAGTACTGTTCTCTTACCTACACTCTCCCTAGAGGAACTCATTCATCCTCTGACATTACAAACCATTTGTAGGCTGAGAGCTTCCAAATTTACATCTTCAGCCTGGACCTCTCTCCACAACTCGATTCATGAACCCAGCTATCCACTGGATATCTACACTTAGATTGCGAACTTAGCAAGGTCAAGACCAAACTACTCATTTCCTTCCCCAATCCCGTTTCAACTCTCCTCCATCTCTGTAATGGCATCATCATTTATCAAATTGCTTAGGCCAAAAACTAGGAGTCATCCTTGAATTCTCTTTCACTTAGATCTCGTTTCATTCTATTAGTAAGTCAGTCCATCAGCTCTGCTTCGAAACTATATTTTGAATCCAATCACTTCTCATTACCTCCACTACTGCAACTCTAGTCCAGGCTACATCCTCTCATTTGGTCCACTGGAGCAGGTCCTAACCAGTCTTACTGACCCCTCTTGCCAACTCCGTCCTTACAGTCCATACTCAGCAGGCAGAAGTATATTTTAAAGCACAAATCAGATCCTATAACTCTCCTGCTCCAAACCTCCTATGATTTCCCATTTACAATCAGAATAAGATCTACATGCCTTCCCACAGCCATGATGCATCACATGATCTAGCTGCTGCCTACTCGGTCTTGTTTCTCTGCCCTTGTCCACAGACACAGCAAGCTCATTGGGGCTTAGCATTGATTGTCCCACTACTTGCACCGCTCTGCCTCCAGGTCTTCACATGGCTGCCTCCTTCTTGACATTCCTCCCTCCTGAGAGGGAACTTCCCCAGCTTCGCCTCGAGTAGCTGCTCAAGTGATTCTGACATTATTCTATTTTCTTCATAGTGCTTAACTGCAGCTGGAACTCTTCTTTTTTTATGTCTTCCCCTCTAAGTCTGAGATCCTTGAGCAGAGGGACTTCACCATATAAACTGCAGAATTCCTAGTGCCTAGAACTGTGTTTAGAACATACAAGGGACTCAAATACTTGTTGAATAACTTGTTGAGTGAACACAGTGCTAAATTAATGTGAGTTATTATGCCTTAATTTTATAAGACGACTCCCCTTGACTCCTTTGAGAGTGCGTGGATTAGCAGATATTTGTTGATGTGAAAAGATAATAAGGCTTTAGAAGTGGAAGAGGCCCTGAAGACCATCTAGCCCAGTGATTTTCAACCTTTTCCCCATCTCATCATCCCTGAAGACAACATGCACCTAGCAGCTACTGCGGCTCTGAACCAACAGCACCTCATCTAGCCTGGTGTGAAGATGGTGTCATCTGGGCCCACTCTTCATATCTATTGATATTTAAACAACATTGAGGAGTGATTAAATAATGTTACCTGTGCTCACGTTAAGAAAATATATAAATGAAATATAACTTCATTTATATTTATATATGGGCCTCTGAGTGAGGAATCTAAAATCCAAATGGTTTTTCATGTGGGTCAACTGCTGATGACCTGCCCCATAAACACTGCTGAGGTGTTGAGGTATAAATATATTGTTTTAAAGAGGATTAGGACTCTATAGAGAGAAAGAATAGCTTGAAGTAATAATAGTAAGGATTTAAGGAGGGCAGGGCTGGGAATTGGGCAGGGATTTGCAAAGAGAACCCTGGGAATTGCAGGCAGTCAGCCATAAGCCTGGATGCAGGAATAAAGGTTTGAGCAACAAACCTTCATCTACTAGATGGGCCTGGCTGAAACCCTATTGTAAATTAGGGGCCACCAACCCCCAGGTCATGGACAGGTACTGGTCTGCAGCCTGTTAGGAAACAGGCCGCACAGCAGGAGGTGAGTGGCAGGCAAGCGATTGAAACTTCATCTATATTTGCAGCTGTAAACACAACAGTGTTCTTGTGATACAGTAGGTCCCTCCTCGCTGAAGCCTAAACTCGCACGTTGCCCCCTTAGACACTCAGGACCTTGAGACCACAGGGATTGCACTGTGTACTATACTGCTTGTCTTTATTCAAACCACATTTATGTATTTTATTCCTCAGTTTTCCCCCACCCCCAGTAAATCTCTTTATTTTTAAGCTTTAGGGACATAAGCATATTTTACTAATGTGAAAGGGGAAATAAATCTGGATTTTAGGTTTCAATATTCTGCATTTAATATGTGGATATCTGAGTACCTCAGTCTTTAAAAATTAGGTTCTAGGGCTATCCCTGTCACTAACCTGAACTCAGACACAACAGTTTTATCCTTCTTGTCTCAGCTTCATCTGTAATCTGAAAAGGTGATTGAGTGGGCAAGTTGTATCTTGGTTTTCTCCCCCGTAAAATGGGGATAATAGTAACTACTTATTGGGTTGTTTTAAACATTAACTAAGATAGTATTTGTAAATGACTGTATGTAAATGTTTGGCATAATGTATGGTGGTGATTATAAGAAGCATGTTATATGTTTTCTCGTCTAAATTAAACAGTTGCTCTAAGTACTGTCCTCATTTCGGCGATACTGAGGTCCTTTCCTGCTAGTTTTTAAATAGTACAGCACAAACATGTGGAATATCACTAAAATTGTACTGCCATCTAGTAATAACTATTGATAATTGAATGTCTTATCAAGTACTGTGAGGTGCTAAGTTATCTAATTTAATACTCCAAACTTAATAAGTAGGCATTATTTCCTACATTTTACTGAGTAAACTGAAGCTCTGATAGAGTTAAATACCTTGCCCAAATTTACTGCAGTTAGTGTGTTTGAACTCTTATTTGACTCATGACTGTCTTGACTCCGCAGTCCAAGTTTTCTGTACTCTGCTACTCATTAGTATTGTAGTAAAACTAGTTTAATAATATAATGTAGGAAAGGAGGAATGGTAGCTGACCAATAGAAATGTTAGGAAATCAGACTATTTGTTTAAAACAATTGCTTTACATATTTATTGTGGCATGTCTAAATGGCCAAAGGAACATATAATTCTCTTTGAAAGCACTGAAACTAGGCACTGAACAAATTTAATCTTTAGAGTCCTATCAATAATTTTAAACAGACCATAATATTTTATTTAATATGAAAAAATATATCTCAGATCAGAGATAGCAACAATGAACTCAGAGCTACATCTCAATAAAAAAAAAATAATCTCACTCCTTACCTGCATCTTGTACATTCTGCCATCAGGTCCCCTTTTCTCTCAACACCTCCCAACCCCACCATGGACAGAAAGTGAGACTGGGGCATTAATTATAATTTTTAGAATATGCATTTTACTTGGGAACCCCCCCCCCCGAAAACAACTTTCTCAGCCTATCAGGATAAAGAAAATACCTTGTTTATGTCAATAGTAGGCTTCAAATATGCCAAATATTTTTGTCAAAGATATATCACTAGTTTTTGTCATGTGTGTAGTTTATTTGCATATTTATCTTAAAACAAGATGTTAATATATAATTTCATGTGTTAAACTCAGTAATCTGTTTACAGGCTAATTTAGTCTGAAAACTGGAAGTGGATGCACACCTTTTTAAGGAACTTACAGGTAGAGTCACTGCAGCTGAGTATGCATAAATCATCCTCTTATAGTATAGTCATTAGTACTGTCTATAAAAAAAACACAAAGCTACATTTATTTTTAAAGAATTATTTCTTTTAAAGTAAAATGGGTCACAAATTGCCGCTTTGCTAGATATAATTACCATTATATCCCTCTTGTTTTATTGACTAATTCTTAATCTTGAGACTTCTAAGATAAGCACACTTTAGGCATTTGTGAATGACAGTCATAGCAGAGCTGCGAACAGAATGAGGTCATGGGGCACAAGGCTGTAATTCTTTTCATGTTAATGATGGTAATGTGAGTCTGACACACAGGCAGTATGCATTCAAACACCGACACCCGATAGCAGGTCAGGAAGAGAAGAGGAATTTCGGTTTAAATGGGGGAGTGTGGGACTGAGAAGTCATAACTACTCCAGAGATGTGAAAGAAACCACAAAGGACACAGACCTGATTCTTCTGTAAAAAGGTAACGAATCACTCCCTTGGGGTTGATACATCAATAGTTTCAGCCCATTGCAGTCTTGCTTCTTTCAAGGCTTTAACTACTATTTAATTTCATGGAAAAGTAGACATTTCCAAACAAAAAAGTTGCCATTAACCCAAAGAAAGAGGCCTTCGTATCAGTGAGGAATTTAATAAGGAAAATATTTTCTGTCCTTTGCAGTTTTCAAAAGCCATTGTATCTATTCAATTTTTGGTATTTACTATGGTGCTGGGCACACAAAATAAAAGCCTGCTGAATGAATGAATCACAGGATGAGTGAAACAATATAGGTGGTAATTTCTTGAGAGCTCAAATTCCATTAGTGACCCTTTAAGGTAGCCCTGTAAGGATCTGGGCTACAAGAAGAGCTCAGTGCATGCCACAAGTATGCCTGATCTGCTGCAAAGTATATCCATTTTCAAGAATGTAATGCTTAAATGAGGTAAATTTGGAGATTATAACTCCCAATGAGTATACGCCAGCCTGCTCTAAGGTAAATACTGAAAACTTTAATTGCTCAGTGCTAATCAAATTAACTGAAGGTTCCTTCTAGGAACCTCAAAAGAAAAAAGTATGTGAGGAATATTTCAAACATTCACTTTCAGATGAATGATATAAATTAAAATCTGTATAATCAAATAATCAAACAATAGCAGAATAACAAAATACAAATTTACTCTTGATATATAGCAGTCAAAATGGTTAACTCACTTTTGTTAAAATCAGCTGAAATGATGACATATGTATAAAGAATAAAGTGGTTCTTTCATTATAGTCCATTGTATCATTAATGTTCCATTCCCTGCTTTCAACTGATCAGGACATGTGGACTCAACACAGCAGGTGGATGAACTGAAAACCGTCTCAACTGGAAGCGCTCTCCATTTCACTGTGCATGGCTGGCCCACCCTCACTTCAAAAGCTGGCATACGTGGTCTCCCTAAGATTTTATGACTTGCTGCCTTCTTTTTCTTCTGGCATTGTTTCCCAGATTGGCTTCTTGATGTGTTCTGGTAACCGTTCTAATTTTGTCTAAAAAGAATAGAACAAAACTATAGTATAACATGGACTTAATTGAACTCTTTGGTCACAAATTGGATTTATCATTCTTGTTCCCTTAAATCCTCCTGACTCTTTTACTTTTACCCTTTTCATCTTTTTGTAGAGTTTTGAAACAGAGAAGAAAACTCAATGGTATATAATTCTCACATATGTAATCTGCTTGGTTCTCAATGATGTCCTGGGACTGCCTGTCACCTAATGTAGTCCCCATGTCTAGACAACTAAGAGGGAGGGAGACTTCAGAGGCTGCTCAGGGAGGATGTGGCTGCAGTGGCAGGATTCTGTTGACCTGTCATCAAAGCACAGGGAGATGGAGACCTCAACCACTGTGGCAATTCTGCTTCCAGGTTCGCCACAGGCCCTCCTCTCCACTCAGTGGGCCAGGACCAGACTGCAGCGTATCACAATACGGACTGTTGGGGAAGGACATCAAAAAGACGTGACCGCTGGTTTGACCTGCGAGCTGGACCCAGGCAATCGGAAACTCCTTATCCCTCTCCTGTGTTCTGGGATGTGTTATGCTTGCATTCTCTGCTTCCAGACACTGCTCCAAGGATACAGCCTTGAGATACAAATGTGTTGAGACTATCTGGACTGGATACGTGACTGAGCCCAGTTAAGGCCTCTATATAAACTTTTAAGATGAGGCAGGTGGGTACAGAAATCTAGTCATCTTGCAGCTACACAAGACAAACCTGGTAAGTTCCCTTGCTTATTAAACCTACTGCTTACCATTCTGGAGTGGTCTGCCTCTTTCTTCAGTCTCTCTTTGCCTTGAGCATCCAGGGATGGTTTCAGATTACACTTGGAAAGCTCTGGAGAAGGTTGCGACCCAACACAGATCTCCCCGCAACAGAGGTAGAAATTAAAGTCATACCTTTGTAACTTCCATGGCAACACCTTCAGGCAAGTTTCGTTGAATGTATTCCAAGTAGACATCTGCTGTACTTCCAGTTAGATGTTCTAACTAAAATTTTAAACATAACATTGGTTCATGCTATGCTGTTAAAACAAACTTTAAGTTTCTGTGGGAAATGGGTGGATAAAATTCTGGGTTTTTCCATTTAAGAGTGAGACTATGTTTTAATTATATTTGTACCCTCAATGTCTAGCACAGTGCTTCCAACATAAAATATACACAAGTACTTGTTTTAATATTATTTATCAGTCATTTACTATGTGATGGAAATATTCTTGGTGGCTTAGATAAATATCTTATTTAATCATCACTCTAACCTTATAAGAGAGGTACCATTATTATTCCCATTCTATACATAAAAGAATTGAGGCACAGGACACATAGCTGGTAAGTGCCAGAACTTGGACCTGGTTTTCTGACTCCAGAATCCATTTTCTCTTTAACCACAAGGCTGTTGATCCTAGCGAAGGCACAAATGAGTAACAGGCAAAGGAAAACCTTAATGCTGCCATCATAGACATGGGAAATCCAGTTAGCATGTGAAAAGATCAGAACTGTGTGAAAACTTTAAATTTTTGAAATGTGAGCAAAAGTATTCCAATGCTATTTTATTGTATAAAAATTAGTCAACATAATCTGCATTACTGAGTTAAATGTGAACTATACTAAAGGATGGCTTTGAGTTTGATTTTCCTATCTGATGCTTCCATAAACACAAAAAGACATCTATCTTCTCTACAACTATTAGGCATACATAGGCTGACTGAAAGGATGTCAACCCAGTCAATGTTAAAACAAAGTTATGATACTCTAGCATGAAATTTGGGCATTTCGAAAATGTCTGAAATAAACTTACTTCCAAACATCTGTAAAGTGTTCTCATTTCATACTGAACTCGGTGCTTCTTGAAAATATGCACAGATTTGAGAAGAGTAAATCGCTCTATTTTTCTTGGAGGTTCATGTCTGAAAATTAATGAGCAAAATAATATACTTAAACTAAGTGATGTTAAAATCTTAGTCACTGATATTAAAGCATGATTCCACAATTTTGTAGGTCAGGCTCATATTCAATTACAGGCATTAACTATCATTTACAGACTTCCATCTGTCAAGGCTGTCATTTATGCTATAAAAGCTGCCGTCATTAAGCTCAGGCCAAAATAAACACTTCAGACAGCAACACAAACACTTCCCACAGACCCAAAATTGAGCTTTGGCATGAAGGCATGTGCGTGCACACACACCCCTCCCACTTTTATAGCCCTGAAGACCCTTACTGTCCAAATATGACTGCGAAAGTAGCACCAGTGTGTTGGACATAGATGTAGTATCTGCTGTGTTTTACTTATATGTAGGAAAATGTACAGATAAATCTATAATCACAAGACTATAGTCTTGTTATGGGAAACGTAGGTTCCTTCTGTTTTGTTAAAAGGCAAGACTGGCAAAGCCCCAAATGGGCTTTGTTCTACATCAGAAAGAGCAGGTGACAAGAAAAAGGAGGTAGTTATGGCTGACCCTATAGTGACTTCAGGCCCATATAAAGCTCATCTTGCTCAGGAGTGAAATTACTGGGTCACTACTATTTCTCAGAGTAGTTTTGAAACAAACCATGGAGAGTCCAGACACGAGGCTTCTTAGGTCTCCTGTCTATGCAATTCGTAGAGAAAGAATTGTCTTCATTTTCCTGGTTCACTCATTCTAGTATCTACACATTCTAGTAGACAGTAAGGGATGATCTTGCTTAGAATATGACATACCTGCACTCAACATATCATGAGTTCTACCCCATTTTAAGAGTCAGACCTAGCTAGGATCAGCATCATTTTCCTGATAGCTCATGTTACAGCAGCTGACTGGTCAGATTAAGAAAGATCATACTTACACTTTAATAGAGATACCAAGTTCTTTAGCAGCAAGCACGGCAAAATATTCATAACTGTCCAATACGGCCTTATCATGGCCTTTTACTAAAACTGACAGGCGCTTATATAATGTGTCTGGTTCATCTGAAATGGTTATCTACAATTTTAAAATCAAAAAGAAAAGTTTCAGTCATGGTTCCCCTAATAGTCGCAACTAGAATTTTTTTTTTTTTTGCTTAAACAACAGAAATTTATTTTTCTCAAAGTCCCGGAGGCTGAAAGTCTGAGATAAAGGTGTTGGCAGGTTGGTTTTTTCTGAGGCCTCTCTTTGTTTATAGGTGGCCATCTTCCTCCTTTGTCCTCACATGGTTCTATCTTTTTGTGTGTCCAGATTTTCTCTTCTTATAAGGACACCAGTCATACTGGATTAGTGCCCACCCCTATGACCTTATTTAAACTTACTTCTTTAAAGACCCTATCTCCAAATATAGTTACATGAGGTCCTAGGGGTTAGAATGACTTTGACACATGAATTTTGGGAAGGCAAATTCAGCCCATGACAGGCAATTGGTGATTCTTTAGACCTGGGGAAGAGCGCTTGCCCTGGGATTTCTCCTCACTTTTACCTTGGTCATTATTTTAAATAATATTTTTTATATTTCAATTATAGTTGATATACAATATTATATTAGTTTCAGTTGTGTAATAGTGATTAGACATCTATATATCTCACGAAGTGATCACCCCAATAAACCTAGTACCTATCTGACACCATACATAGTTATTACATTATTGACTATATTCTTTATGCTATCCTTTGTACCTCCATGACTATTTTGTAACTACCATGTTTTTTTTTTAGAGGAGGCAACCTTCGGTTGACCTCACAGATTGCAAGGACCTTGTCAGCTTACAATCCGACTTTATAAAATTTTTTTACGCCTACAGCACCTGGTCTTCCTAGGTGGTCTCCCAACCAAGTACTAAAAAGGCCCGACCCTGTTTAGCTTCCAAGATCAGATGGGATCGGGCTTGTTCTGGGTAGCATGGCCGTAGACTGTAACTACCATTTTGTACTCAATCCCTTCCCTCTTTTCACTTATCCTTCCAACCCCACCCCCCATCTTGTAACCCTCAAAATGTTCTCTGTATCCATCTGTTTTTCATTTGTTTATTTTGTTTTTTAGATTCCACAAGTACATAAAATCATATGGCATTTGTCTTTTTCTAACTTACTGCACTCAGCACAATATCCTTGAAGTCCATCATGAAATATCTTTTTCCATCCCTTTTAGTCTGTGTGTGTACAACCAGAAAATTTAACATATTACCCTCAATTGAGAAACTTCGGTTTAGTAATAAATGGGGAAAAAAATGCTAAGTAATATCTTAACATGGTTAGCTTAAGTATCTAAATACTATCACATTCAGATCTGTACAATAACTCTTAGAATCTATTAAAATATATTTTAAATCAAAAGAATTTCAAGGCAACCTACAAAATCACTAATGGAATCTTCTACCTTAAAAGTTATTAAGCCCAAATTCACATTGGGCAAGGATTTTTGGGTCTGTTAACAAAAATAGCTGGATTGAGAATTAAACTCTGCTACTTCTAGCTGAATGACAACAGGCAAGTCATATAATCTCATCGCACGTTAGTTTTCTTATACGTAAAACAGAATACTGATGCTACAGCTCACAGGATTTTAGGGAACAAATAAAAAACAGATTCAAGTGCTTATAAATGATAAAACATTGTTATATAAAGGTGAACAACTCCTATTCATATTCTTTTTTATTAGGTTTTATTCATGTGTGCCATTAATAGAAAAATTACTCATATCTAATTAAAATGTTCTGACACTGACTGTACATATGTCTACCTCTTCCACCCTAATAGTTAAAATCTTAGAAATAATGGGTTTGACATCTGACTTTCTTCCAAGAGGTGAATTACCTTCACTTCATTCATCCATTAAATCAGTAATTTATATTATTAATTCAATGATTCAGGGTTAATTACTTTGCCCCTGAAAGTAGATCTACTTACTAACCAGGAAGCTAGACATTCCCTCTCAATTACCCTAAATAAGGTTGTAATAACAACAGAATATACTGATATCCTATCTCATAAGCTGGAGGACAAAGAAAAGGAGAATATAGCCCTTAGATGTGTTCTGAGTAGTTTCTATAAGGTTTTAAAGATATTTTGAATGTCACAAATATTAAAAATTAGGAGATTTCATGTAAAAATCTGAATTTTAGTTTAGCGTGTGGCTAGAGTAAGTAGCAGTTGTCTCATTTATCAAGGGCACAGCCGGCTATTGCTCCAATCCTGTCACTTTTCCTTACACACCTGTCTCATGTAGGTATCTTAGTGGGAGACCCAGGGTGTATATGTATCGTCATGAAAATATATCCAGTATCTACTAAGCAAAGAAAACGAAACAGTAGTACATTATGTATAACACAATTCTATTCTAGTGTGCATGTGTATAGATACGATCATGTGCTGACAAATGTCTAGAAAGATTCACACCAAACTATTAAAGGGAGTTATTTTTGAAGGGTAGAACTGGAAAGATTTGGAATTTGTAAGGATTTTTAAAAATTACATATAACACAAAAACTGAGTTGATGGAATCATGGCTTTTACTTAAATGAAACAAGATTACGGAGCTACTTCTGGTTTTCTTTACTTGTGCTAATGTTCTTTCTCACTATGAACAATAAAAGCACTGTCCAGGACCAGGCGCAATGTCTTAAAATGAAAACAAAGACTTGACGGCTATAAGAAAAATTTTTTCTAGAACATATCAAGTAGTCTGCATCATTAATCATGACAACTCTTCACATCATGTTGAGTTAAAAGCAAAAGACTGCTCGTTCCCACAGTTATGTGAGTTAAATAATTCATTCCCTTAGAACTTACCTTGATACCCTGAAGAGAATATGAGCACCCAGGGACATTAGCAAATACCCAACTCAGGCACACTGTTCATTTGCCGGTATTCCAGAACAAAATTTTTTTTTAGTCATGAAGTATTTGGGGAACAACCTCAAATAAAATAATGAAGAAAATTTATTGCTAAAGCAGCTCCTTGTGCCAAGAAATAGAGAGTACATACCGTAGGTTTGGTCAAATCCTTGGGAACATCGACATGTAGGTTTGAAAACTGTACCCATTTCATATTGGTACTGCTGCATGTGTGGGAAAAAAAGAGAAACCTAAGTAAAATAACAGAAGAGCCCATTTTCTTTTTGAGTTTAACATATCCAATTATATACTTACAGAAGAAAACCACCATTTTTGGCTATAGTGCTCTTAGAACTGTTTGCAGAAAAATTCCTTGAACCCTTAAAAAAAAAAGGAAACATATCAGAATTAAAGTCAATCCCCAAATCATTCATAGTTTCCATTAAAATTCAAAAGATGTACAATGCTTATTATAATGGCAGTATGTAGTGTCAGATGGGTGCTAAGTAATTAGGGGATCGCTTTATAAATTATATAAATGTCTAACCATTGTACTGTATATCTGAAACTAATATAAAATAATAATTAAAAAATGAAAAAAATGTACAGTGCTTCAACCAAATGGCTATCTCATTATTTCAGATGTTGGAGTAACTGAAACGCCAAATTAGAGTTTATTTTATAAAAAGAGGACAATGGTAGAGTTGATAATCAAAAAGGACAAAATACTAGAGAATCTATATATTTTAAAGCTTAGAAGAACTTTTTTCAAAAAATCAGCTGACATTAAAATAACAGCTATAAATATTTGGACATCGAAAAAAAATGTAGCTTAATTTCCCCATTAATTTTTACGTAGTAAATGTTCTTCAATATAATACTTATTTTGCCTGAATATTTCTGAGTAATAAAAAAGTATCACAACTTATTAAGAGTTGGAACAAGAATTCTAAAGTACCCTTCTTTTGAAATTTTCATATATCTTCTCCAGCATATGTATTTCTTGCCTTGGATGGGATAACTAGCTTATATGTAAATCGAAATATACACTAAAACTTACACCCATCTTACACCACATGCTGTGGCTCATACTGCAATAATCTAGCTTTTCCAATTCTTTACTGTCAGCTCCCCCTAGTGGATCAAAACTTCTAGTTGTAAGAAACCTATAGTGTCATACATAATTTGCCATCTGCTTTTCCATAACTTTCCTGAGATTTAAAAGCGTAACTGGAGAAAGAGGATCCTTAACAATACTTTGAAGATGAGAATAACAGTTTAGCACAAATAAAGCTTAATTAAAACAACTGAGGGTCACCTAAGTATGTTTAAAAAGCCTATGCTTAGCTTACTGTCTTTCCTCTCTACCCAAGATGGAGGCAAACAAACTCTTCTCCCTTGGATCAAGGGGGTAAACAAAAAGAAGGAAATCAGGCATAATACAAGGCAGGAAGAGGGAAGCGCCATTCTCCATAATCACAGAGAAAACTCTCTTCCCGCATTTATGCCAATAACCCCAACAATCCAGTTGTGCAAAAGGACCACGGGTCTAAAGAATAAGACACTTCTCAATCACATTCTTCTAGTATGAAACTCTTCTTTTAAAAGTTGTCACAATGCTGTTATATCTGTCTGGGTGTGTCTTAGTAGTTTAAAATTTCAACCTCTAACACTATTTGACTTAAGAACAGTGGTTCTCAAAGTGTTGTCTGAGGACCTCTGGGGGTGGGGAGGGGCGGGCTGAAACACTTTAAAGGGACCTTGGAGTACTGAGGGGTTACTTGCAACGTTTCCATTTGCATTCTCTTACAAATATACAGTGAACTTTTCCAGAGGTTGCACGATGTGTGATATAGTCACAGATTGAATACAAAAGCAGACAAGAGAATCCAGCTGTCTTCTATTAGACATTGGAGGTTTGCAAAAAACGGAAAACATAACCACTCTTCTCACTAAATTTATTTTGGAAAACTTATTTTCCACAAAAATGTTGATTATGTTAACATGTAACGAGTTTATTAGTGTTATTTTAAGTGAATTAGCCTTTTTAAGATTCTCAGTTTTTATTTTTTAATAACCTAAACATCCATAGCTAAAACCCGACAAAAAAAAGTTCTTTGGAGTCCTCGACCATGTTTAGATTGTAAAGTGGTGACGAGGCCGAAAAACTTGAGAACCCCGGCTTAAGATTTTGCTTCTCCAAAAAACCGCGCAGAGGATAGTCAAATTGCTCCTCTGACTTCTGTGACTCTCATCTAAATCCCAGAGCCCTTGGATACGAAGTTATCTCAATTTAGTTCCGTGGGAAAAATCTAAACTCTCGCGCCCGCTCAGCCCTTAATTTTCGCGAAGCAAGCTTTCTGTCTTCTCTGAGCTTCGGTTTATTTTGCTAATATGAAAGGAGGGATGCAGAACATATGATGTCCAACCTCTTTTTCAGCTCTGGCATTCCATGATTTTTCCTGTTCCTGTCTTTGCCCTAACTCATTAACTTACGTTTTATTTTATGAAATAATTCGACATAAAACCAGCCCCTTTCTTGCCACTTTCCGGCAAACAACGAGCCGAGGTGCAGAATACTATAGCAGAAGGCTCCTGTCGCGCAGAACGACGGTTGACAGCCAAACTTAGTGGCAACTGCCCTCGTCGGCCCGCCTTCCTTCCCCAGTCTCCCGGTACCTGCCACAGGAGCCCGCACACGGACCCGATGGCCGCTCGCACCGCCATTTTGCTGTACCGGTTTTTCAGGATCGCTTCCGGGGTCAGCGCGTCCTCAGATCATAGAGTTCTGCAAAAGGAGAGAGTATGTCTTTGTATCCGCCACAGGAACAACCATAGAGACGTGATTTTGTGCCTTTTTTTTGAGAGTTGGACGGAGAATCCAGCTGTCTTCTCGTGGGTCGGCTATCAGCCTGATACTCAGTATTGATGAAGTTCTTTCATCCCGTATCTAGATAGTTACCAACTTCCAGAAACGAAAAGATTAAAAATTTAAAAAAAATCAACACTTTGTAGTATCTAACTAAAGTATTGTGCAAATGTAAAGTTTTTTTCCCCCCCTCCCCACAGTAGATATTACTTACCCTATTTTGCGGGCAAGGGAACCAAGAAAGGGGTAGATGCTTTGCCCAGCATCTCACAAACTGATTAAAGATCTAGGGCCCAAACCCAATTTTCCTGCCCCTTAGACTGACCTCTGTTTACTAGAACTCAGTCCATGTGCAGGTGTGGCAGAGATCCCCAGTGCAGCCCTACACCAGAGTGTGGAAACACCACACTTTACCTCTGTGCACTTCTGCTGTGCTCAGCTGTGCCTCACTTTGGCAGGCTGTCCAGTGCCCTTTTCAGAACTAGGTTCCCTCTCTGAACTGTGACCCTCAAAAGTGGCGGGTCTCTCTCAGCCAGTGGGGTTTTCCAACAGCTCTCCATCTCTCTTACTGCTTCTGAAGTTGGCATCAGTCCTTCTATATGGCAATTCTATGATAGCTCCTCAGTTGGCCTCTTTTCTCTTTGAGTAACCTCAGCTGGGTGAGGGTTCTGCAGTCACCATGATGGTGACATTAAAGCTTTCGAATAACTTTCACCTATGTTAGCTAATCCGGCCCTCATAAAAAAAAAAACAAAAACAAAAACATAAATTTTATTCTAATTTTATAGGTGAGGAAACTGAGGCTCGAAGATGAAATGGCTTATTCAAAGCCATACGGTTAGTTAGTTACAGCTGAACCAATAACCATATTCAAGATCCTAATTCAATGCCTTTCCACCTCTGCGGTGGGCTGGTGCTGACTCTGTGATCCACTGCAGTTCTATTTAAGACTCTTTGGGATTTGAGGATTAATGATCCTCACTTCCCCACCCTCCTGAAAGAAAAGGTGTTCGTTTTTTATCTTTTTAAATTTTATTTATTTATTTTTAATGCCTACGGCACCTGGTATTCCTAGGTGGTCTCCCATCCAAGCACTAACCAGGCCCAACCCTGCTTAGCTTCTGAGATCAGACGAGATTGGGCACGTTCAGGGTGGCATGGCCATAGACTCATTTTTTATTTTAAAAGACACTTGTGGCCTGGACTGCTCCTATAACTAAAAAAGGAGGCTTAAAGCACCCTTGAGGACTGAATGCCTTCTCCATTCCTGTGACCAAGCATGGTCTCTTCATTGATGGGCTCTCTCTGCTCATGAATAGTTTCTGCTCCCTCAGAACTGTGCCTTGCACATGGCCACTGCTCGCTGCCTGTGGCTCGCTAAGTTTCTCCATTCATATTCTCAAATGTGGGAATTTTATTTGGTTCCCTCATTTTCCTGGGCTAAGCTGTGTCATGTGTCACCAAGTGGCCTACAGGCTTAATAGCTTGACATCAAATGGTGCCAACTCTGGTCGAATTAGTTGGGGGCAAGGTGGGAGGGAGTCATTGTGGGGTTAAACCCAGATTTTGCCAATAGTGAGGCTGTGGACAAGGCTTTCTGGCACGGTGTGTGGGCAAGGACAGTTTTCTGAAGCTTGACCTGTCTATTATAGGTCTCTTCCCTATTACTTAAACTTTCAAACCTCTGACCTAGGGTAGATAAGCAGGAAGCTAAATGATTCTGGATAGTCAATGAAAATATATCTTGCCTTATAGCCAGGAAAAATACAAGTATGTGCATCAAATATTTTTAAGTTATATCATATTTTGATTGCATCAGTTGTTCTGTTTTATTTTTTATTTTTAATTTTTTTTCAGTTCTGTTTTAAAAGACAGCCCTTTTCTCTTTGTTGTGATGGTTTCATGGTTATATACTAATCTCCAAACTCATTAAGTTGTATACAATAAATATGTATAGCTTTTTAATGTCAATCATGTCTCCAGAAAGTGGTTAAAAATGACAATATTGCCAAAAAAAAAAAAAAATTACACAAGCAAAGGAAGCAATGACTCAAAAATGAGATCAGTATTGTATGTAACAATATATATGCTGGAATGCAAAACAAGTATGTATGGCTGTTGTGGCCTTTACAATTCAAACAGAAACACTAAACACTTCCCTTGGGCCAGTGGGATGAGGAGAGGACAGCCCTTTTCAAGAAATCCTCTCATATAAATAATCAGCCCTTTGGCTCTTTTGTACAGAAATATATGTGATCCAAAGATCACTTGGGTTCACTTAGGGATATAGTATTCAATTTCTTAACCTGCCTTCCTAATTATGTTTTGCTTTTGTCAACATTAAAACTCATCCTCATTCCTAGAGCAAAACTCAGCTGGCTGACTATGGCCGAGGAGTCCGTGGAATTCAGAACCAACTTTAGGTAAATTTAGATTTTATTTACATGCACACCCCCCCCCCAAACCTGGAAGATTAGAGGTAATTAATTTAAAAAATAGTTGCTCATCACCTATTTTAAGTTGCTGTGTATTGTGTGGGTGATGGTGACTGCGTTCAGAATGTAACATGACCTTTGCTCTTCCCAATAGTGGAATTGGATCAGTTCCCAGGGCCCCATATGTTCTTTCAAAGTATTAAATTCCTTGGCAGAAAGGAATGATGTCACAGTCTTCTTTATACACTCAACTCCTCCATGTATAATAAAATATGGAATAGTGCCTGGTACATAGGGCTCACCAGTACTGAATGAATAACAATAGAAGAAAGTCTTCATATTGGACACTTGAGCCTCTTGAAGCAGAATTTAAATATATAACACTGGCTAAATGCACACTGCTTCGAGGAATAGCTGTTTTATTTTACATAGGACTAACATTGATAGCTAAAATTAAAGCAAAAACAAACAAAAAAAACCCCACTCGACAAAAACCCTAGATCAAGGTCTTAACAGGTATGCCCCACTGATGTCAAATTCTGTATAAATCCAGAATTTCAGATTTTTCTTAGTTTGTTGTAAACACACTCTTCAGAACTTGGAAATCCAGTTAAGCAATGTGTGCAAACCAGGGTGGATTTCATTGTGAGATAGCTGTGTGAGTACGAGCTTCCCTAAGCCACAGCTGGACTGCTGTGGTTAGAGACCACCACCCTTTTGAGTGGTGTATTCACTGCTCGAGCAGAAATGTACATCCTGGCCTCCAGGGTGTAGTGAGGGCACCTTAATCAGCATTAAATCTGACTAGCAGGCCTCTAAATGAATCTACAGAAACCAATTAACAGGTAAATTAGCATTTATCCACCATTGAGAAGGCATTTCAGTGACTAGAAATAAGGGATGTTTCAGCCAAATGAAACTCAAAAGAAAACATTTTATTTTCAGAGCAGCTGATGCAATATTGAATCAGGTTTTCACAAATGAATATGACAGTGTCTATTTGGTTACATCTCTATTTGAAGAACGCCCCTCTATAGGAACTGTAATAAATTTTTGAGGAAGCTAATGAGTGGAACCTTTTAAGTAAAATTCTCCTGGCTCTCTTTTTGAAAAAAGTATTGTGATAATTAAAAAAAAAAAAAAAAAATTCTTATCACTCAGGGGGAAAACCAACCTAGAATGCCCCAGTTGTTTTTAAGGAATGCACCTTTTAAGGACAAGTCTATAAAACAGCTTTATTTATTTGTTACATATGATGTTTAAATATAACTTTGCTTTCAAGCTTCAAACTTTTTTTAAACCCCTGGTAAAATAAGACTTTTGGTTCGCCTTAACAAAAACTGACCGAGGAAGAAACATTTTTAGCAAAATGTATTATAAAATTCACTAGAAAATACTGTCCTCTTTTTGCCAAAATGTTACATAAAATCCTTATTAAAAATACACACATTACAAAAGAAAAATTATGAATATGCTATACATAGTGCTCTTGATATGGACCAAGGGACCTGCATTCCGGGGAAAATACAGTTAAGCACACTAGATATTACGATGTCAACTTATAATAGTGCAAACCTGAATAAATTACATCCTAAAATGGAAGGCATGCAAGTCATTTGCTGAGAATAGAACATAACGAAGCCAGAACAGGAAGCAATCGCAACCACTACTTAAAAATGTTTTCATTTTTATTACATTAATTTTTTTCAAAAATACTTTTCTTTACAATAGAACTCCTAGAAAATATTTACAACCTTCCTCTAATAAAATATAACAGCAGTTAAATATATTTGAAAATAAGATGGGTTTTTCCATAAAATATATCTGTTAACTTTTTATATACAAGCTTTCTCAAAGAAATCTAAATTCACTAATGAAAAACCATCTGATAGTAAACAGTAACCATGTTGAAGACATTGACTTTTAGGAAGAAAAGTTCTCTGGGATGGGGAGGGGTGGGGGAAGCTAAAACACAACACATACATGCAAGCAGAATCATTTCAGAAAAGAAATAAGTACAACGTTTTACTATGAAGTCAATTCTTTTAAGTTAATATTGTCAAGAAATACTAATTCAGGAATTTGAACTGTCTCGTTAAGGAGGAGTTCTTTGGTTATTTCAAGTCAGAAACGCTTACACTGTACTGCATGGAAAATCAAAATTAAATTGTGCATTATATTTTTGCCTTGGCAACTCAGTTTATTTTTAATGTTTAAAACTGGAATGGCTGGGCAAGTCTCCAAATGGAATGAATACATTTGCTTTACAAACATTTTTCTGGGTGTTTGCTCCTTTGATAGATAAGCTTTCACAGACCCAATAGAACCTTTCCAGAATCACTCTCAGACATCCGCCAGCAGAAGGAAGTAGTCACTGGAACAGATGCGATTGGCCAATATTAAAGTTGGAATGGTTCTGGAATAGTTCTGCCACATTGATACACACCGCCCAGGCAGTTCTGAACTCAAAACATATGAGAATAACCTGTCTGAAATGGCAGCAAAAAACCCTTTTTTCCCTCAAAGAAAAGATGAAGGGAGCCTCCAAGACTTCTTTTCTGAAAACAGAGTGATAGAAATGAAAAGAACCTTTGTATTTATCTTCTGCCCAAGGCTTTCCTGAGATTCAGAGAGTACTGTCTATGTGGGGCCGCGGTGGGCCATGAGTATGTGCTAAACGCTTTTGCAGAATCAAACCTAAAAAGGATGCTCGGGTCTTATCCTCATGTTTCCGCTGACATTTTCTCTAATGTCAAACTATTAATGTGCCATAGTAAAGTGGCCCGGCACCTACATGAGCTAGGGAAACAGCTTACTTGGGGCAGGCGAGGCCTGAAAGCCCCCTCTCCGGAAGTCACACAGCATTAAACCTGTGGGCCACCGGCAGGGTCCTCTATGCTGGGGCCTCTTCGCAGTCTGAAGGCACACACTCCTTTGCCCTAACAGTGGGACAGGTCAGTCTGACTCAGCTCAAAAGCCTGAGCGAAATGCCACATTTGAAGGATTACAGGTTTATTTTACCTTCAAGTACAAACAGCAACCCTGATGACAGGGACAGGAGGAGGCAGAGTTATGTAGCTTGGAGAATTCTAGAAGTGCTTTGGTAAATGACTTAATGAATACATTCATTGTTTGAATGCAAACATTGTAGATAAAGTGGTATCCAAAACCATTTTTGTTGGCTTTTAATGCTATTTCCTTTGTATTTGCTATCAAATTGGTTAGAAAACCCTTTTCTCATAGCGTCAAGGTAAACTTTGGTCCAACATAGATGAATTACAGCAAAATCCCAAGCGAATGAGGCTTCACAGTACTTTTAAATGGCACGGAGTCATTTCAGAACTCCACTATTAACATGTTGCAAAAAACAACCACGGGCTCTTCCAGTCTAGTTTTTGGGCAAAAGAACAGTTCTTGGCATTCCCGGTATTTCAATGTGTGCCTCTCAACCACTCTCCCCAACCCACCCCCTAAAAACAGCCCTGGAAACCTAATAGCTGAGGTTATTTTCCTCCACATAGGCCCCCCGTGGACTCACACTGAAAGACAGGTCTGCCAACCCATGATGGAGCCAACCAGCCCCCAGGGAACATGGAAGAGGATGCAGCACTTGCTCTATGAACAGGTCTTTAGTAAATCACTGTCAAGGAGTGCAAGTCTGAAATTATACAGTACTTGGTTCCTAGAAATGGGCCAACGAGTGACAGGCAAGGCAGGGAATAAAACTTGTTTTCTCATTTGCTCAACTCTTCCAACGACGTGTGTGCTAGAGGAAAGCGTGGCACATGAGGGCTTACTTTGCTTTCTGGAAAGCTACCCGCTAGCAAAGTCTCCTGGCAAAGATGCCAAGTTCACTGCAAACTACAGAATGAGGTCAGAACAGAACGAAAATAACTCTTGGCGGGAAAGGATGGCCCAAGGCCCCAGCAAGAAGAGGGGAGCCTGCTTCTTACACACACACACCCCGACACCCACTCCCTCCCACACACACATTTTTTTTTTTCTCTCTCACTGCAAGCTTTGGGATAAAAGGCAACCAGGATGGTTGACATCCGAAAGCAAACGAACACGAAAGTCAGGTTCATTTCCTGCCAGGAATGAGTTCATGGGAATGTAGCCCAGATGAAACACCTCTTAACAGAGTTGTGCCAATTATTTATTCCCTTCAACCACTCACAAAAGCAATTTTTTTTTAAATAAAAGAAAAAGAAACTGGATTTTTTTTTTCTAAACCTGAAAAAACAACTTTTTAAACAGGTAGTTTAAAATGGTTACAAAACAAGCAGGCAGTCCAGGTTTCCTGATTAATGAAGATGGAGGCCATGAGTTTTCATTGTCTCTAAGTGACAAACGGCTTTATAGTTCTGTGTCACCCTGAAGCAAAACTGAATCTTGATCATCCAAGAGGAGATCGGTGTCCACGACCTCAGCTTCTTCCATGACGCCGCCTAACTGCTGGACAACGTCGTCATCGAGGATGTCCACATCCTTGATGGGTTTGATCAGACTCAGCTGGTCCAGGGGCAGCAGCCCAGGTGCCCCCACCGGCCCCGTAGTCCTCTCGATCGTGGCTGCCATTTCAGCTGCGAAAGCCGCCTTCTGAGCCTTTTGCCTCTGCTGTTCCTCCTGCTGCCTGTGAGTTTTCATGTGTGCATTTCGGCTTTTGATCTTGAAGAAGACTCTAAAAATGAAGGAAAAGTAGCGTGTGAAATTTAGAAGTAGATCTGAATTCTTGGAAATTCTGGTGTCCTACAGGGAATAGGGGGAGGGGAGGAGGTGCGTGGTCTGACATACTGTTTGGGGTGGCTTAGACAGAGTCCTAGCTTCTTAGTTGCTAGGACCTCCTCCTCCAGTAACCTATCACTTCTCTCTCCTCTCCAAGTATTATAAGAAAAGGGGTTGGGATAGAAACACATTTACAGTGTGTCAGGCTTCCTTCCTGTGGCAATGGAGGAAAAATTCTCAAAGGCCTTCCTGTCCATCTGTGGTCTGGAACACATGCCCTCTCTCTTCTTGCAGCTTCCTGCTTTCTCTCTCTATCACTAACCAAGTCCTCTCTACCAATCTGAGAATCCCCGACCCATGCTGCCAAGCTCTGATAGTTCCCATCATCCCCCTCTGGCCCGTGTGCCTATTCTCTGGCAGTGAGAATTCTTTAGGATCTGAACACACCTCTTCAGTTCAAGTGCTCTTCTCAAGGTCACCAGTAACTCTGTTTGGCCAAATCCAATGGCCCCTCTTCTGCCTTTAGTGTACTTGACTTCTGAGCTGCATTCCCCATTCCTTTGTACCTGAGACCCCTTTTTGTTGGTCATCCTATTATCATTTCCTACTGTTTGCTTTAGAACAAAACAGTGGTTCTCAGCTGGGGGTGATTTTGCCTCCCAGGGAACATCTGGCAATGTCTGGTAACATTTTTGATCGTCAAAACTGGGCAGAGGCCAGGGATGCTGCTAAACATTCTATAATACTGGAGGAAGCCCTTCTTCCCCTCAAAAGAATTATCAGGCCCAAAATATCAGTGCTGAGGTTGGGAAACCCTGGGATAAGTGATCTGCAAACTATGGTCAATGGGCCAAATTCAGCCCATTGCCTGTTTTTGTAAATAAAGTTATCGGAACACAGACACATCTATTTGTTTATGTACTGTCTATGATTGCTTTTATAATACAATGGCAGAGATGAGTAGTTGTGACAAAGACAGTATGATCTGCATACTAAAATAGTCTCCCTGGACCTTTTTCAGAAGTTTGCCCAGATATGACACTGAATTTTTTGAAGAGAGAGTGGCATAAATACTCTATTCCAGGGGTCCCCAACCCCCAGGTCATGGACTAGCACCAATCTGTGGCCTGTTAGGAACAGCAGGAGGCGAGCGGCAGGAGAGCGATTGAGGGTTCATCTGTATTTGCAGCCGCTCCCCAGCACTAGCATCACCGCCTCAGCTCCACTTCAGATCATCAGGCATTGTATTCTCATAGGAGCACTGGTCCCTGGTGCCAAAAAGGTTGGGGACCACTGCTCTCTATTCACTCCTGAGCTCATTAAGGAAAAAAATTTGCTTTCTAAGAACAAAGTCAAACAGTTGATGAATCACAACTGGATATACTAAAGACTGAATTTCAGCAGCTATAAGAGGCATTCTGCAAACATTTACCTAATGTTATTCCTAGTCTGCAAAACCACAGAAAATATTTCTATTTTCCATAAAATCTTAACAGGAGTTATGGTAAAAAAAAAAAAAAAGATCCCAAGCAACATAAAAACAAGACAAGAAAAACATTTAATGGATGTCAATGAAAGAGCCAGAAAGCTTGAAATACTTTTTTCATATTAATTTTTGTTAAAATGTCCTTTGTCTCCACCTGGTGGAATAAGAAGTTGCAGCCTGTTTGAGCAGAATGAGTGGAAGGTGCTGCCACCTCTTAGAGGAAACTGGTGGATTGTTC